GTGGAAAGCAGTACGCCAACCAAGACGACCTGAAAACCGATTTGGCCAACTTTTTCGTAGCGCAGCCGCCAGAGTTCTATTGGAATGGCATCCATAGTTTGCATAAACGTTGGCGTGAAGTGATAGAGGCCAATGGTGATTACATTCATGATTGAGATGATTTTGCTTTTAAATAAACTGGGTTGTAATAATTGTTCATGAAATTCCGAGAACTTACTTTCCAATCAGATAGTATCTCATAGCTACATTTAGGCTCTTTGTCCTCGTGCAACTGTTCAATGTCACCTTTCTGAAATATTACTGAGGCATGATACTTAAATCCATATGGTACTAAACAGAGTCAGAATTTAGCGACAGTACATCAGCAAAAGGAAAGCCTTGGAGTTTGATACCATGCCTATAGTCCTATGTCTGTACATGTATCTTATTGTTGACCAAAACAAAACCCATCCACATACTTATACTTTCACATCTACATTTGAGCATCATTGTTTGTGCTTCCCATGAGAGAAAGAAATATGTTCAAAAACTATAAACTGCAATTTTTAGAGAATTTTTAAAGAAGTGGTTAAAATGACTAAGTGCTCAGCATAGCTCAGCATTTAAATACATAGAACTCTAAGAGATTAGAATTACCCTGGATGAAATATCCACAAATGGGGCAAGAGATCCTTATATAAACAATACATTTCTTGCAAATAGTGTAATGCTTCAGTTTTGTGATTATACTTTTGTTTTAGAGCATCAATTCAGAAACATTGTATGATGAAAGACACTTTGAAATTGGTTATCTTGATGGAGTTGAACATGCTCATTTTTCATCCTTCAAACATTTGTTAAGACTTGAATATGAAACCTCTGTCCAACTTTGAGGTAATTCATTTGCCCCTCTTTGGTTCTTCCCAATATGATACCATTCATACTAAGCTTTATCTGTCATGTTTCACAATATGTGCAGACCAGGAATAGGGCTAGCACTAGTATCATTTGATCCTTGCTTAGTAACCTACTCCTATTTTAAATATATGCTTTCCTCTTACTTTCCCACTTGCAGTTTGATTCACAAATGGAGTAGGCCAAATGAGTGAAGAATATGAAGCCAGGAGCTCACTTAGGTCTTGCACTTATTTCCACATGCTGCAGGAAACAGCAACATGTAATGCTCTGTTGCACCCTTGTATTCCACTTTAGTGTAGTACACTGACACTCTCATTACATGAAATGTGAAATTGAAATGTAGAATTACTGGGTAATTATTATCACAAAGCAGAATAACTAGTGCAACAAAAAAATATTGAGCTGTCAAGGTTTCTTTCCATATTTTCCCCATATCTCTATTTATTTCAATTGTCAGCATGAATTTTACTAAATTGAGGAGTACACCATGTAATCATGTGCTGTTTTGATTCATTTACATCTGGATTGAGGGACTAACATTGATGATGTCAAAATGTGATGGCATCCATACTCTACATGCAGCTGTCTCAGAAAAGAGAATGTCACATGTAAGGTCTTTTGAAGCACATCACTTGAGAGAGTTCCTTTGCCCCTCACTCAGGGTCCTTTCAAGAGTGTACCAGAAGAGATCATTTGCAACGCAGATTGATCTGACCCCATTCCCCCCTTCCTGAGTGACTGTCTTGTCATTCCCCTCTTTTTCTACCCCACTTGTGGGGTCCATTTGTTAGCTTTTCTCTCCAGCCACAATAGTTATGCGATTCATCTGGACTCTTAAGACTGGACAAAGATGTACACAATGCACAAAAATTTGGTTTGGTACTTTTTCCTCCATTATTGAACTCGAGTGAGAAGTGTACCAAGATTTCTCAATGACTATGTACTTCTCATCCTATACTTTTGGGACTTTCCATAGAATGCATTTGGCCTGTAAAGTGAAGTAGATCCTTTGCCCCATTAAGGGTTAAACCATTAGAACATTATGATTAGGGAATATGCATGTTAATGAACATCCCAAGGTTATGGTGGCAGGGCTACATCCCAGTGACGTTCAACCTGTCGATTCCATGTTGTAGTAGAACTCTTGCTAGCAAATTTCTCAAGTAAAGAGCCTGACATGACTGATTGAGTCATTGAGCCATATGTTCATTGCTCATTAGGTACCATGTATGTTGTTTCACACTTGCTATAGGCCTACAGGATCTGTAGGCTGCATAACCCTAGTTTGCTTTTTTTTATTTTTGCCAGGCAAAGAAGGCTAGAAACAAGGAGAAGCCTCTGCTGCGGCGCAAGTCAGAGTTGCCGCACGACAAGCTCACTGCAACGGCTCTGGACACACACAAACGTGCAGATGACTACCTGAAGAGTGCCCCTGAGAGTTCCACCTGAGTGAGAGGGAATCCATGTGAGTGACTGTGGTGCCTGCAGTTGTTAGACTTCATACAGGTTCTCCTCCCCTGTTGTTGTCACTGGTCCTTCCCCCATGTACAGCATGCAAGAGAGAGAGGCACAGACAGCCACATTGAACAAATGTGTGCAGGACCCTGAGTGTACACAGTGTAGCGAGTCACTCTCTTGCCCTACTATAGGACTTAGCTGCATGGAATTTCTATAAGATGGGAAGGATAGGGGAACAAGGTTTTAAGTTATCGATGCTGTGCACCTTGCACCTTGTTGCAAGCTGTGCTGCCAAAGTGGGATCCCAGGTGCTTCCCTCCATCTCATGTTGATCATTTTCTCCTGCTGAATAATTGGTCATTTTGCTCTTGAGAAAAAGAGAACACAAGGGACTGCTGCATCTGGGATCCTACTTGCCCCAGTTGTAGGATGTTGATTCTTCAGAGGTGCTCTTGTGTGCGCATTAGGGTCTCATAGGTCTTCTATTGTTGACTGTCTTCATGTACTGATCACAACCAGAACTTCTGCTCAAAGTGGCATTGTGCATCGCATCTGAGAATGCAAAAGTGATTTGAGCATTCCTTCTTTCCTTTTTTCCCCCCAATCTCATGTTCATTTCATGTCAATTATTTTCTATACTCTCTTGTGCCCTGCTGCCTGTGACATTCCATGAATGTGAATGAGGAAAGACTCTTCATCTTCCTCCAATCCCCTTCCTTGTACCTTTCATCAACTGGATCACTTAAATCATCTGCTGTCTGACCGGCTTGGTTTAATATTCTAGTATGCTTGCAGAGTTTCACCCAGATTCAATTTGCGTGTAGAAACACATTGCGGGTATCCTTTACATTCACTCTCCTTGCATCTGGTTTGAGCTGGTATGATTGTGGATTTGTGTTTTGTTTTTGTTGCAATCATCAGTGGCATTCTCATCAAAATTTGTTGAGGCACAGCGTAGACCTGCCAGGAAACAAATCAAGAGCAAAGACCAACAGGGAATTTATTTTTGCTAGGAAGCATGTTGTTCACTGCATTTATAAAGTTCGTGCAGAATGTGTTTTCATGTCCCTATGCTATTCTTCCCTTCTCCATGTTGGATGCATTTTCATGTGTGAGGCTGTGCCAAAGACTATGCCTCGGCATGAGAAAGAAAGAGAGGGAGGAGTTGTGTGTGAATGAGTTTTTTCAATGTCAGTGTTGCTAAGCTGCTGCTTCTGATAGGCAGCGTACCTGTTGTATTTTTAAATACAAGAGAAAAAGGAACCTATGTGGAGAGCATAAAAGTGAAATTGAAAAACCGTTGGGTGTTTCATTCCTGATTAAATCGTTTTTCATGAACGTTCCTCTGAACAGCTAATCTTAGCTATTCAGCTAAATTTGTTTAACTTCAAGCTCTAAGCTTCAAACTGCTACACTTACCTATTTATAGAAGTTGCATAAATAATTTTCTGTTGTGCTGGGACAGTTCTCGGTACCTTCAGGGGTCTCGCAAAAATGCATTTGAGCTATGAAACACACAATAAGCAGAGGCAGATTCCTTTTTTTAAATTATATCTTACTCAAGATATAGAAGGTTTGGATAGTTGCTTTTGGCTGCATTGTGAGTCGAACGTAAAGTAAGCTGCAGTCTTTCTGACTGCAGAATCCTAGTTAACTTAGACGAAACTGTAGGCTTTTTCGGATGGACTTCGGGTTATTGTTTGGCATGTGATTCCCCAATTATCCGCCCGCTCTCTTGGAACAACGTAAGGCAGCATATTTGGCCGCAAGTTAAACATTTTCATGGAGAATTGATTCTATTTAAACTTAACTTTGAGCGAACTTAAGTTATCCAGCTGGTTTGGAAAATCTTAATTGTGTGATCAGCGTCGCATAGCATGACATTCTCTCAAGGAGTTTGAATAACAATGCAGGACAGTTGGAAGTTCGTGCCGTTTGGAGAGAACGCTCCAATCTGGCATGACTTTAAATCCACATACTGTAACTGTAGTACTGGCGGAAAGGAACGCGAGCAGGAATTTATTGCTTCTACTGGCTGTTACCCTTGAAACATTCACTCTAATTGAGTTCGATCCAATACCACCCAAATGAGACGCAACATTGGAATTTCGAGCAGCCATGTTGCGGATCAACAATATGAATGCGTCCTATCAATGCCCCCCCCCCCCTAGTATATGCGCCAAACTCGATCGAGCTCCTCTAATCGCATTCAAATGAGTAACGGAATTTTGAATACCCTGATATAGGATGAAGAACATGGGATGCGCCCCATAGAAATTCCCTAATATGCCAATATCCCCTGAAACTCTGTTGCCATTCGGGTTTGCGGTCAGATATGAACAAACATCAGCCGTTATTTTATAAATGAAAGCTGCACGGCGCCTGCGCAAGACTGAAACCAATTCGAGTAGTGAAAAGTACCTTTATTCTGAATAATGTCTCGGGAGGGAGAGGATAGGAAGAAAAATGAAGTCAGTTTGGCCGAACCATGCTGCCCTCATTACAGATCCCCAGATGTGGATCTACTCCTACGAACGATCGGCATCGATCTCGTCCTCTAACCCGAAAACCTTTCTCGTCCGGAGTGAACTATGACAAACAGGAAGCTGGGGAGTCCTCGCACGATCGGCCGTAACTATAATGGTCGAAGAGATGTCTCTCGCGTGAAAAATTTTTCTCGCAGCGAAGATCACTTTCGAGCGTCCGAGACTCTTCTTCGCACGAAGTTCCTCACCGTCTTCGAGTCCGAGAAGTGACACACAGGAATGGGGATCTATCACAGATGCTCGTCGGAGAAGGATTCTAGTGCCTTTGATATTGCTTCATCCTGGAAAAAACGGAATAGGAAATTCACAATCGTTTCTCGACCGTTCTGATGGGGTTTAAACCATGGGTGCTCAACCTGCGGTCTGGGATCCAGCCAGCAGAACTGAGATTCTTTTGTTTTTTTTGTGTTTTTTTTCTTTTGTTCAGTCTCTGCCTGTGTCCTCCCCCCTCCGCATTCCGAAAGGTCACCTCCTCTCTCGAGGGATGTAACCTTTCTGGGCCTTTTATTCATGTCACCACCCTCTTCTCTCGCCCACTCGGCTAATTTCCTGGCAAATCCTCCCAACCAAAATATCTTAGACGCTTCTTCGTACAACAGCGATCGTCAACGCCTCCACGTTACTTTCGGACCAGCCGTTCCCATCAGTCGAGCACCCCCAATCTAAACCATTCGTATTTCCATTTGTTTTTCCCACCTGGACGCAGGCATCGTAAAATTCGTGCCAGCTCACGACGCCGTCTCCATCCAGGTCCATCTTTTGGAACAGCCTCTCCACCTGTTCGTTCACCACCCGTTCGTCGATCTAAAAATAAATAAATAAATATGAGAAACGACCGTGTTTCCTGGCGCATGAGAGCGTTTTCATAACCTTTTTTTTTACGGAGGAAGGCAACATGAACGTATTATCTGACGTGAAGTTTCAGATTTTCGAATGGCATTTCGGCCCCTCAATTCAGATTTGGAACGGGGTCGAGCGACTTCCGCAAATCTCAGCGCAGATGAAGCGCAAACGACAACCAATCTGAGGGCATCGTCATACCATAGCTGTGCGTGACGCACAGCTATGGTACAAAATACTAAACTTGCAAATCCCTTGACATCCAATTGTTATGCATTTCCACCAGATTTCATGTGTTGCAACTGATTTGCACGAGGAATCCCAAGGCTTTCAACTGAATCAGGCAAGAGACAGGTCGATCCCCCCCCTCTCTCCCTCGTTCGTCGTACCTATGGAGGGATACTGAAGACACGTCAAGAGAGTTAGTGATATCAAGAGAAGATTTCGCCCATTTCGATATCACGTGTCGAGGTCGAGCGTTCCTTAATTTTAGGGTAGGCCTAACCCTCTTAAATCTGTAATTTCCTGGATTACTCTTTTCGCCCCTCTTAAAGATCGGTACGACGTTTGCTCGTCTCCAGTCCTTAGGTGAATCCTTCCGACCGACCTTCACGTCATCCTTCGCAGGCTATTATGGATTGTCTAAAATTCGTGAAACTCACCTTCGGATCTCGGAAAGAGCGTAAATTCCCGTTGTACAAGAAGGTTCATGCTAAGGAACAGGTAGACCTATTTCAGAGTGTGATTACATTAGTTGTCAGTTTCACGGAAATATTGCATCACCCGACGCCCAAATGAGGACAGACTCAAACGAATCACACGACATTGTACCGAAGCTCACGTGACTATCAAGCCGTTCCTGATAGGCGGATCTCTGCGTCGCGATCACGCGAACGGCCGGAAGCGCGCTTCCGCTTCTTAGACGCTTTTCTCGCGCGTCTTAAAACTGCCTGGTGACATCATCGATGACGTCATCCCTTGCCTTCCTCTGATGAAACGAGCGACCAAAACTTCGTATCGGTCGGAAGGAGACGGCTGGACTTGTGGACTCAGCGGAGGTCATAAAGTAAGGAAAAAAAAGCTGGACGGTCGGTTCGCAAGTGGTTCTGTTCTCACGGTTCTCCCCCTTCCTTTTTTTTCCTCCGAGATTCCTGGCCGACTATCGGCTCTGTGCATCGTCCATGCGCTCTGCCGTAGTGTAATCTATCTCTATAATGCATGCACTGTGTTGTACCTCTTTCGGTAAGCGCACTCTGCCTTCCCTCTACTTGTCCACTTCGATCCGCGACTGAGGAAAGGGTTATGGGACTGCAGGAAAGACGACAGACGGGGAATGGGGAGGGGGAATTAGATCGTATAACAGAATATATTACGGTTGCTAGTTTCCGGATCCAGCGAAATTTTCCCGGTCGTTGAAAGAAGGTGCCTCACAGATGGGGTTTCACACAGGGCGTGCCTACTCCTCCCCGACCTACGGGTGAAGAATGGTCTTGCTGTCTCGTTTTGACGTCCTGTTTTTCTTGGGTCTTCTTTTCATTTTGGAAAGAGGCCACATAGAGTGTTGTTCTCTTGCCTTACACTTTCGCCATTCGACGATGGCAAAAATAATTGACTTGCTCACCGGGAAAATTGGTGCGTAGATGGGTGTGGACTCGATACTGGCCACCTTTTTCATTGAAAAATGAAATAAATTAATATTTTTATTCGAGTTTTACTAATGAAAATTATAAACTTACTATGTGACTGAGGATTAGAGCTCTACCCAGTGCCCTTCTAGCTTTTTTAATTCAATGCTGTCGAAGCTGCAACGTAGAAATGGTTGCTGGCCGAACTCGCGAAAGGCCACATCTGGGAACCTAAAGGTGCAGCCCTGCCCAGAGGATTAATAGCAGTTTGAGCCAATTTCTGCAGTCGCATCTGCACGCCACAGAAGCACAGAGGAAAAAGAAGCGTTTTTCAAGTCGAAAAGCGATCGCAATCGAACCCTCTCTCGGCCTCGCCGCCAGACTATTTACGTAAGCGGGAAACACACGAGAAAAATTGTATGAAAGAGCTGATATCCATGGAACGGGCTTCCGTGATCCATCATCGAGCAGCAGATGTTCTGCACGAGAAATGGCGACGCTCACATTGGATTCCCTAACGGGAACCATTTCCCGGCGAGAAGCAAATCCATCGGCACCCCCACTGACCAGATTTACGAAAAGCACGAGACAGACTCTCGCCCACCTACGCACAATTCACTGGGTTCAGTCAATCTCAAGCTCGAACAGAAGGTAACAAGCTCGAACAGAAGGCAACAAGCTCGAATAGAAGGCAACAAGCTCGAATAGAAGGCAACAAGTTTGATAGAAAGCAACAAGCTGCCAGGGGTGTCATCTTTGGCTTGGAGCCAAACTGTAGCATCTTTCATAGAAGACTCTCAAAGTCTTGACGGAGTACATATGAAAATGTGCATTTTTTAGGCGTTCCGATACACGTAGCAGATGATGAATCTGCAACGGAAGCTAACGTCTACGATTAGCGCCGAGGTTTCGAGATAATAATAGCGCATTCCTCAACATTTAGAAACGAAAGTGATCGTGTCACAATTTAGAACATATTTTAATACCTTTTCCCAAGCCGATGGCTTCAAATTCGATGCAATCTCCTTTAAGAGCGACTATTGCAAATCATAAAACCATTTCTACGTTTTTCTATCGCTATCGGAGATGCAACAGTTTGCAATCGAACGGCCGATATTTCCTCATTTCAATCTTAATCAATATTAACTCTTTCACCTATGAATTTCCCGAGCAAAATAAAAAATATGCCTTTTTCGGCTTAACGTTTAAGGAGATCCTCTGTCGTAGGAGTCGCATGTTTCACCTCTAGAAAGCAACACTGAAGAGATTATTTGCCCGTGATCATCGCCAAAAATTTTGCGGTCCACCATAGTGGATACCATGCGTGAAAGGGTTAAAGAAACGCTTCGGTTCATCAATTCTCACGCTCCTAAATTGATGACTTGCTGGGGAAAAAAATCGCAGCGCGAGAGAAGATCTCAAGAATAATGGTGGTTGAGGGAGCAACCAGCCCTCTAATTAAAGAAGCTCATTAGTTTCCGATAATCATATCGTGAGAAACACCCGCGACCAAAGGCAGGGATTTTGCTTCAAAAATTGCAACTTGCCGATGTCTCGTTCAAATTTTCCCTCACAAATTTAATAAATTTCTAAAATTTTCGACACGAAAGTTTCAATCGAAATTCTTCCTTATTGTTTGAGCAGCTGAAAGAAAAATGGGATGAATCGTTTCCCAGATAAAAATTTCAGCTCGGATAATTTATTAAATTTATAATTGATTAAAACCCACTATTTAACAAGAACTGGCCTCTGGAATCTTATCTTTTATTCATTATTATTATTATTTTCTTTTACCTTGCCGCAAGCCTTCATCCGAAATTCTATTTTTCTCGAAATTGCTTTTCCCTTTAAATTTTCTATTCCATCCTCTCTACCCCCCACTTCCTCGACCTTTCTGTCAACATAGTTTTTCCCCCCCAGCCAATATTGCTGGTGGCTGAGCATGCAGAGGCTCGGATTCCAGCTCGTTCTTTTCTCGGCAAGGCGGCGATTGATCCCGGCGCATCCGTGTCTCCGTTTGCCGTTCTTTCTTTGTACTTTGTGTTTGCTCTCTTTTTTGTGCGTGGGCCTTGGGATTCGGTGCGGCGCGGATCTCCACACCAGGGACTGTCACAGCTGATTCGTAGTACTTCCGTGGTACCTTTTTTCTTCTCGAGCGTCGTCGTCTCGGCCACGGATGCTGGTCGTTTTGACCCTAGTAGCTCATAACATTGAACCAACGTTGAATCAATGTTGATTCAAAGTTTTGTGTTACTATGGGAAGAGGCATCGGTGCAAACACTGCAGTTCATATGTGGTGGCTGACGAAGAGATTAAGGCTGTGGTACTTATCCGTTCGAGTAGTTCTGTCTTCTGATAAATTTCCTGGCGCAGAGAAGTCGAAAAGAGCCTGAAGCACACCGAAAGTTGGTTGAAGGATCGTTACCCTGACGAGATTCCTGTACAACTTATTGGCCCATCTATGGCACTTTATTTTCGTAATCTTAATATCAATAGACTGTATCCGTTTTGAAGGGTATGCTGTTATGAAGCACTCAGCTTATATTCGATAAAATCCAACATCCTCGTCGACTTTTCTAGTTTGACGAGAGATCTACTGACTCCATATTTACCTGTATATACTGACACGAAGAAGCAAATCTGAACTATACGGAGCCCTTGAAGAAGAGTACTTGAGTGCAAATCCTTGTCGATTGTTCACGAACACAAGTGAGAAAGCCGGTCTTCCCGCAGTCACAGACCATTCAGTGGTCCGTGCAAGAACCCTAGTCCAGTGACGTGCGGTTGTCGAAGTGCCCACTGCCTGCTGCTTCCTCCACTGCCTGCTGCTCTCCTTCCTTCTCTACTTCCTTCTCTGCCCTTTGGGCAGAGGTTTCAGTGCAGCCTGTCTGAGGTTCAGTGCTGGACTACGCTTTGATGCTGGCTGGCCGGGCTGACCCTTGTCCGCCCTTGCCCGAGGAGACCCACTTTCACGATTTCCGTTCCTGCTCACGCTTCCACGTCATAATTGACACACTTCGTGCTTTGTTTTAATCGAAGTCTCTCAGAAGGCCGATTAGTAAAAACCTTTCAAGTACCCTCGAATACCCGTAAGTACGTGATGCAGAATAAATGTATGACACTCGACTCGCTCCAAAACCTTGATATGAAACGTGCCAAACACGAAAAGAATGCGTGAACGTGAGAGAAAGTGCCAAAGGGGAGCACGCGTGAGCGTGAGAGAAAGTGCCGAAAGGGAGCACGCGTGAGCGCGAGTAGAAGTACCGAAAGGGAGCCTTAAAGTTCCGCTCGAGACCAGATCATATGTCAATTATGCACGATGTTAACCCTTTTTCGCGTGACAACTAGTGTGAACCTTCATAAAGCATTTCTAAGAGCCCTCACACTCAGAAACTTTCTCTAGAACTCGTTCATCTTCGTGAACATAACAACTTCCAGAATAGTAGGTGTTGTGCCATGCCAATCTCTAGGGTGTCGTGATTCGAAATGTCACGAGACTTGTCTTCTAACGTGAGCGCAATGGAAAAAATGGTTAATGATGAACAGCTCAATTCGATACTTTCCTGACTCCGATGCTATCAAATATATGCACTTGAACAGTCCCCCTTTGACTCTTGTGTCCGAGACAGAGCTGTATTTTTTTGTTACCGTTAAAACCATTCCAGCGAGAGGACAATAGCTTTTTTTTCACTCGACTCAGTTTCCAGTTACTCTGACACGCTTATATGGCACTTTTCATGCAAGAGTGTCGAAATTAAGGTAAAAAGTTACTGGCTCTATCGATAATCACTGTAAATGGTTCCCTTCACGTCCCATTTAGTCTGTCATTGAATGGAAGTCCAATCATACACGTCAACCATCCATTCCGTCGAGAAGTGTTTCCATCGAAAATATTCATGCATTTGTTCCCAAGGCCAATGGGGATATTCTTTTCTAGATCTGAGAGGCAGGTGTCTCAGATGCACCACTTTTCAAAAATCGCAAGAAAGGGAAGCGTGATCGAGACGGGATAAATCGTATCAATTCTGCACGCTAGCTCCCCCCGTTGTCATGGGGACAAAAAGGTTCCAGGATATACCAATATACCTCCATCGTCGTGTGAGATGATGAGCTCGTACCCTACAGCCAGAAGTATTGAGAGGATTCCGGCCAAAGCCAAGCACTTCATCTCATTCATCCTTGCCATTCCCATCCTTTCTTCGTGCGAAGAAAGGATGGCCTGCTTTACTCCATTGCCTAAATAATTTAGGCCACGAAATGGAATCCTATTCGATTTCCTTTGAAAATTGATTAAGTTGATTGGGAAAACGGAGAATCGAATCGAAGATGCCCAGCCTCTCCGGATCGGGTTCCCGCCATGGAGGAGGGTAGTATGACTCCAGCGAGGCGCGAAGATGGCCGCGACAACTAGGCTTTCGTGATGTGACGTTGAAACGGAAAGCAAGCTTGGGTCATTCGGTAGTACAGAGAATCTCGAGCTGATTTATTCACTTCGCGCCCTTTCGAGTTGAATTCGTGCGTCCAAAACGTCATTCCACTGTGGAAATTCATTCGGTCTATGCACGTGAAGCAGCCAGAGATGGCTGGTTCGCATGACTACTCCTCTTCAAGCAACTGCTGTGCCTCTAGCACAGCCCTGTAGGTGGTAATGCTCTTGCATTCACGCGAAAGTAACATTCCATGCTTGTAGGAAAGTAGAAGCAAGACTTTTATAGACCCTTTCAAATCTTGTTCACAGGATCAGATCAGGCCTGGCGCGAATCCTCTCAATGCTTCTCATCGAGAGGATATTTCGAAGTATGAGAAGTAGTGTATTTCTCACCTTTAGATATCCCCTATTCCACCTATGTGACTCTGAAGATAATCTAAAGCAGCGGTACACAACATCCTGCCCGCGACAAGCAATGACGTTATAAGGGCTACTGTTACTCCTGCCCTGTTGGCCACAGCTATGGTCAGCCAGACTGCGGCCTGCGGTAGGTGAGTAAAAATCGCAAATGGTCCTCACAGCCTTTTGAGCTGTGCACTCCTGATCTTAAGCATTTCTTCTTTTACTGTCTAAACCTCGCGGGCCTCAAAGGTGAGCGATGGAATTGGATCGCATGTAGAAATTTATGACGACCCTTGTGATTCATTGTCATAGCGGATGATAATCGGCAGAATCACCCTCAAATCAATCGATGTCTGGAGGAAAAATACGAGGAAGATATAAGTCTCAACGACAGAGGTCTTGCCTCTGTCTTTGACATATCAACATGACCCATGGTTATTTCACGATACACTTTTGTCCTTTGAGTGAGCAACATGATGCTGACTGATGGCCCTAGCGTTACGTTGGCGATAAACGAAATAGAGTGTTCATTCAATAATGCGCTTCATCCTCCCATTCGGCGACGGAAGCGTCGTAATGCATACATGTCCTCACGTATTGCGGTGAAATAATTTCATCGCAGTGATTTAATCTCCGGTAACTTTCGAATCACAAGTGTGTACTAAATATACAAGTAACCATATGGAACAATTAGGTCTCAGAAGGCTAAAACAGTGTTGAATAGTCTAAACTTACAGTTCCGATCCTCCCAAAGCTTGCTCTAAATATTCGGGGAGAAACTTCGTTGCTCTTGCTCCCGTTTACCGTCGTCGATCTTTCTCGCGTGGGAAGTTGCGCGATTGATTGGATTCTCGGCGAGAAGCAATTACCCGACTAATATGCCAAAGGTCAACTTATGAGGGTTCCCGATTTCCTGTCTCGCAGCTACCCTGGGTCTCCCTCTAGAAAGTGAGAGTCGGGGATGAGATGGAGGTTTTTCTTCGCTTCCCGGCCAGCCTTGATTAACCCTTCCGACGGGCGCAATCCTATTTAGATCTCAAGGATTCGGAGTAAGAAACTCCATCGATCACTCAGTCAATTATCAGAGGCGAAGGAAGAGAATCTCCGCGGACTCTCCTAAAACGCTTCCGTATGGTGCAGCTCTGTCGGAAATGAAGACGGATGAGAACTCGAAAGGCATAAATTGACGATCTGACCTGCCTGAGCATGTAAAGGCGCCGCAGCACCTAGGATTTTCCGTAGAGCAACGAATGAGCACTCCTTAAATCATTTTACTCTGTCTCAGAATATTCCCTGTCCATTCGCTCCTCTTACTCAATTCGCCCTACCACAGCTCTCCTGTATTATTTAATCTGTACTATTTATAAATCCTGTATTAAACTCTGTTCCTCTTATGACGACTTTGGACTTCAGACAGAAAAGAGGAATTTCCTGGCACCTCTGCCAAAACTAGTCGTACTCTTGTTGAGAATTGAAGTATAGTATCAATACATTCATTCTAATTCGAACGTGCATTGAATATCGATTGAGTACTCCCAATTTGAGAAAATAACCATAATAATATACGTTATACACGCTTTCAGATGGTTTGCAATTCATTTTCAGCAGTCTGCGAGTGAAGAACGTTGGCGAAGCAGTTGGTCAAGTTGATTGTAGTTCCGGTCGGATGAAATCTATTTTCGTCCATAATGAATGCATTAAACTTGGAGTTTCGGCATTGAAGCGTCATTTTCGGCATTTCGAAGGAGTGGTGCGCCCCATTTCTCTCCCATGTGAAGTAGAATGTGGAGTATGGGGTCTGGAATATGAAGGTCTTCAGTGGAATTTCAAGTTCGTTTGTTGGCAAGTTTTCCTCGAAGTTTTGGCATTGATGGACAGGCACGACTTGGTAGCAACAACGGATGAAGTAGAGAGCTTCAGTTACAATATTTTATAATATGGGGCGAATCTCAGGATGAATTGCAAACTTTCCTAAGGACAATAACGGGGGACTGTAATAAATGGGGCATTTTTTCAGGGGAGGAAAAATGGATTGTCATTTGCCAAGCCATGTTATCCTAAGAGAACGCTGCGATAGCCTAAAGTTCTCCCTTCAATCCCATCTACAGGGGGGGAAAAGTACTCAACGAAAAGCTCCCTAACATTGGAAGAAGCTATCCGCAATCTTCTGTTATCGCCCGTGGCCAAGAGTCGGAGCCTATTGGAGCATGTGTAGACATACACCCATTGTCTTGTGATTTGGTTGTTGTTTCATTTTCTTTTCGCTTCTTATTTGCGCTGAACTTGCTAAAGATAGTCTTTTAAGTGCCAAAAATTCGCCCAGAACGCTCATTTCCTAATATATAGCGCCTATACTCACTTTTCACGAAAAAGAATAGAATATGTCTAAAAGTTAATTACAATTTACGAACCTTGTAAAAAGCGGATTTCAAAAGTTACATAAACTTCCTCTTCCCTGGGCATTTTCGAAGGGGCATTTCTCTTTCTTTTCCCCAGCATTGTTCCTTTTCCCTGTCACAATGACAAATTGCATATCATTGGAAAGTCGTCGTCATCTAGCTTTTAATGACTCGGAGTTTTTCCATAATCCCGGAATGGGGTGAATGGGATGACGAGCAATGAAGGGTGCTGAAGGTAATCCTTCTCAAGAGGGCTCAGGACTAGGGGAGTTCTTGGAAAAGAAAAGACTCGGAAAAAAAGGCACGTCAAGTTGATCCAAAGAGATTTTCTCATTGAAGCGGACGGAATGAAAGGAAAGAAAGAGGTATTGTCAATTTCGTTTTTCTATAGACTTGGAATAATCTCTGTTTTCTATTTTGCAAGGACTATTGTTTTTCATTAGTCTCTCCCCATGACATTCCCATGCCCTTTTTGGAACTAGACTAGATTGGACTGATTAGGTGTGCATATATTTTTCCCGTCATTTTTCATTTTCAGGGATCTTTGCAGATCCATTTCAGTTGGTAATTTCGAGGTTATTCAATTGTTCATCATCATAAAAATCAGTCGCGATATGAAACTTCGAAGATCATTATCATCTGTTAACTTTATTTTTTTGCGATTCGTCCTCAGAATAATTTAAAATCAAATGTATAATGTAGTTGAGTAGCTATGCAACTAATCAGCAGTCTATATTCCAAATACGCTTCAGATAATCTGAGACTCGGTCTGATTTCTAAGAAGAAAATTAAATGAGAGTCCGTGTTCCTGTTTTCAGATTGGGTGCATCGAGCTTGAGAATACGTGTATAGTAGGAAAGTGACTTACTGGAGGCCTGGAATGAGCTCCCATTAGCTGGTGCACGGAAATGATGATGGCCCGGATCTCGTGTCGGGTTATGACTCCATCTCCATTCAGGTCATACAGTCGGAAAACCCAGTCCAGTTTCTCCTCTATTGTCCCTCTCAACAACGTCGACAGGGACATCAGAAGATCCTGCCGAGAAGAGTAAGCATTACTGTGCTTATGCTTCCACGATAGCCGCATTATGCCTTTTACAAAAGGTATAATATTACCCAGTGCATTCATATCCGTTGATGAAGAAAAATGAGAGGAGAATTATCAGAGCCAGGCTTGAATGCGCTCTCGTAATGGAGCTCGTCATTCGGAGTAACCTCGAATGACCTTATGAATCAACAGCTCATCCGACGAGAGATCTCATCTCGCCGACGAGTCTGCCATGTCAGGATGAGATGCCTGCTTATAACTTACGATACCATATTAGGTCCCTTTCGTTTCGATCCCCGCGAATATTTCCATTCTGTATTGCCTTCGGCTTTGTACCGACGCAGCGATCCTTGCCTCTCTTTTTTTTTCTCATGAAACAGAAAGCTCAAAATTGACAAACCTATCCAATTCCGAAGCCAGACTCTTAGACGATGTCAAACATGGGTAAGGAGGAATCTATGCTTTTAAATCAAGTCACATATATACATGTCATATTCAGAAAGAGAATATGAAAGGCAGTTGACGTGCTCGAGTCCTTTCCCTTTTCAGGACCCTTCCCGTTATTTGAATGCTCCTTGTCTGCTGCAGCTTTGTTTTTTTTTTTTTTATTTTCGGTTGTGGGTCATATGGGGAAACCTACTTGAGAAATTAACGAGGAGGGTCAATATTTTCCCCAACAGAAGGTACTGTGAACACAGAAAGCAAGACCTGATCATTAGACGAAGCGCAAGAGGTTAGAGTTTTCTGAAAAGAAGTTGATTCTACGCATTGGCTGAGCAGGATTGAATAATTGTAAATACGTGGCATCAAATTGAACGTCTACGCCACTTTCAGGGGCGTGTGTTTCACTGCATTAAGCTTAGTTTCGATTGAAATGTTTTCCAATAGCAGGTCAGGAATAAGCAGTTCCTGGGATTACAAAGGACACAATCAGCTTCACATTCCTTCTGTTAAGAAAATTATCTACGGGCATTGTTATACCAAGGCTATTCTAGAGCTACCCCATATCCATGAGAGAGTCGAAACATTATCTGAGATAAGCGCGTTGTGGGCTCCATCAGTTCGGTCGTTTTCTCGCTTATGGCCTAGGATTGCTGCGGAAGCCTTGAGTCGGACTACTTTGTGACGTCTTTATGACCTCGATGATCAACGATCAACTCCAGGAAAATGCCAAGGAAGCCATCAGTCGTAACAAAGCCAGAGAGTCCACAGAATCGATGGGAGAAATCTCATTTACTGCACCTGTCTTCTTTAGCCAATGATAGTACTCCAGATGCCCGTTCCTCACCTTTATTAAACGCTCATCATAATCATGATCTTTGGTCTACATGGCAAATATAATTTAATGCTATCAGCAATAGTTATACAGAGGTGAAAGAATAAGCTATCCTGTTCCCAGCGCTGAGATATTCGATCACAAAAAAGTGTTACAGGATCTTTGATAGAGAAAAATATCCAATTTTAGTGGTAGTACATGCAGAGTGCATGTGGTTCTGCAGGTGGTTATGCAGAGCACTGGCTGATATAACGAAATGCAAAAATCTTAATATCAGAAGAATTGACTCCGAGGTAAAAGAGATATCCGTAACCATCAGTGGTATTATGTCTAGATTGACAAATAGACATTTTTGCTCTTCGATGTTGATTTCATACAGTCAGCAAAATTGTTTCAGCCGAAGCTGTCAACCAATTTTGGTTTCGTTCCTCTCCCTACATTCGGCGAGTATTGCAAAAGATAGAATTTTCCAAAGTGGTTCATTGCTGGGTGCAAGATTCCATGTAGGCACTGTCAATATTGGATTCTTACCCGTCCCGATTGTTTGCCAATATTGCCAAAAATGCCATTCTCCTTAAGGTTCAATGTTGGCTGCAGGACCGGTGCCACCTTCAGATCCCTTCACATCCAATATAGGTCCTATATTGGAATGCTCCTGGGGCTCTCACACGAAGTAGGTTAATATATTCTTCGGGAGAAATTTATATCACTCGTGCTTATACTTAAAGCACGCTTCAGACAATCCATTGATGGAAATGTATGGGAAAGATCTATCAGCTTTAAACCTACTCGAAGGTCCGCCCTCTCCTGCTCTCCATGATATACATATCAGATATGGACGTAAGAAATCTGTCTGGACTGCTTACGATTGGATTGAAGTGTCATTTGATGGTCTTTGACGGCGTGGCAGATGGCTGCCGGCACTTATTTGATCCAATGGTTGACGTGCACATATCAAAGCCAAAATTTCTACGAACTTCATCAGGAACGAACTAAGCCGGTAGCTTATTCCTGGGATAATCATCAAGGTAATAATTACTTACTTGTATTATGCGAAACTCTGCTTTGCAAGTGATCCAAAATTATGTTTTCATATTCGGTAATAAGAATTTCAAGCCATAGATGTGCCCTTGGAACCGTTTGAAATGCGTCGCATAAACCGGGAAAACTTCGACGGGGATGTTACAATGACCAAACAATTATCAGTGATAGGTTGATTGCAATCAATTTCAATTTGTATGCAGCCTGTCCATAGATATGCTCAGGTACTTCACCCGCACGTGAGATGTAGAAAAGCAGTCCAGTTACGTTCAGTTATATATTCCTTACGTCCAAAGTGCATTAATTAAAATTTTGCTATAAATATAAAACCAAAAATTTTTTCAGGATTGACTTGAATATTTTATATGTTCGAGAGTTTTAAAATGTCATTTGTCTGCGATCCTCCTTTCTTGAGTTACGGCAGAGTTTGTCAAAATGATCAAAATTCTTAGTGAACAGTGAACATTTGCATGGGAATTCATGAAATTCATGCTAATGCATGACAATTTCAGATGATAAAACACGCACTCTGAATAACTGCTTTCTTTCTTTGCACTTTCACGATGATTCGTCCACAGGAATTTTTTTTCAGCAAAAATCAAACATGGAATCGTGCCTCAAAACGGCAGTTGAAAGTTCATAAATAATTTTGATCATTTTGACAAAGTCTGCCATAGCTCAAGAATGAGAAGTCGTCGACGCATGGAATCTCATGGAGATTCTCTTGGAGAACATATGACGACCTTTCATTAAATTTTCGAAGAGCTTACTTTTTTTTGGCCAATGTAGTTTTAAAGCAACAAAAACAGACAATCGTGCAGAATTCGTGCGATTAATTTTTGGGACCATTAAAGATTACCTTTTGTAATGTAGGTCAATAATTTAGAGTCAGATTTCGAATTAAATTTATTTATATACTACCAAAAATCCACCCTGAAGTACGAAAAATGTCAGGGCTGCAGTTAACAGTGCTAAGAATAAGAATATATCATGTTAACCACGTGTTGCATTATTTGTAAAGCTAGTTAATGGCGAAAATTCCTTACAACACGTAGATACGAGAATGCTAAGTGAAGGAGGAAATATTCCAGTGTTAGTTTCATAGTCATTCCGAAACCGTTCTCTTTCCAAACTAGAATTACATTCACATTCTACAGAAAGGTTTCCTGGAGAGAAAGACTTACTCTGAAGCTGAGAGCGCCGGAATGGTGGGAGTCAAACGCCCGGAAGACGTACTGAGCATACGAGGTTGAAACTACAACAGACCAACACAATACAAAGGTCATCACATATATTCAATGGTCTGGGATTTACTTTTTTTTTTAGCAGTATCATTATTAGGCAACGCAGGAAAAGTCATGAATGTACGTGCGGGGCAGTCGATGTTTCTGGTTATCGGCATCCAAGCTATTTGCAGCAATTGAGATTAGATGAATTGCAAAATTGCATGCAGATTCCACATTTTGAAAATTCATGCCAAGTCATCGTCATTTGAATATCTAGTTGAGTACGTTGAGGAGATACGTACGGATAGCGTCTCCTTGAGAGCTCAAGTCCTTGATCGCGATCAATAGAGCAAGTGCAAACACCTGTTGGCGTTCAACGCTTCTGCTTGCGTAGGTTGCGCAAAAGCAATATCTCAGTCCAGTATGTCTCCTATTCCGTTTTACTTACCGAAGTTCGTGTGCATGTAGAGGAAATAAAATCTATGACTCACGTGCTCCAGGGAAGAATTTGGCGTAAATCTCTCGGAAATTTTCTTCTTGCACGATCCCGTGAGGACAATGCTGAATGGGGTGGAAAGAAAAAAAAACGTATTGATATGATAGAAAGTCGATACCTGGAAGATCATTAGAAGGACTAATGACGTTCATAAGTCTCCTTTTATCATCTCATCCCATGCAGTTGAGCTTGGATTGATGAGACATTCCCCAGGAAGGAGAGAAACCATTCTTCGGAAGCGGAAGGGGGGAAAGAAATTGATTCAGGACGGACTCGGCCCGCCCTTCATTCATATTCCCAAGCCAGCTGGGGAGTAATTGAATCTTGGCTCTCACCGGAAGAAAGGGGGGAGGGAATCCAGGACTGAAGACCCTTTCGGAATTTTCGCCAAAATGCCTCCGCCCATCGGTTTTCATTAACACAGAATCTCTTTCCCCGATTAATTATTTCTCCTTCCATCGCTAAAAGCTATCTCGCATCGATATACATTTCCCTCCGGAGAGAGGAATCTATCACACTCTGTGAGACCGAAGATTATCAAGGACAAAATGTTAGATCTAGAAATTTCGCCTCTGGGAAATCTGTTCCGATACGTGGTCTTGGATTCTATCCAATGTGCTGTCGCTAAGAACTCCTTCGAGAAATCTATCCCCATTCTCAATGAGAAGTCTTGTCAATTTGATCTCGTTTTCGCCCATCTCCATCAAGATCATCAATATCAAGATCAAGACAATACGTCATGCATCGCGCATACGTGAATGACTAAGGAGTGATGGAGCCGATCAGTTCATGCATCCCTGCTGGGACAATGAATGCTTTCCATCCGTCATCCTGAAACGAATATTCCGTGCTGTCTGAAGAGATGGATCTTATTCGATTCCTCGTCCTTCAAAAATCACTCAGGCAGGCTCTCACTGTCATTTTGACGTGCCTGCACTTCGCTTTTCATCGAGAAAGGCTGTCACGTTCATGTTTATTCTTCCCCTCCGTCCCATTGGAAGAGTCTCGTCATAAAAAAGCAGCATGGGAGGAAATGATAGAGAAAGGCGTGCTCATCGATTTTCTGGGTGCATGACATGGCATCAGCTGTTGGCATGAAAGTCTTCGATGGCTATGACGGCCTCTTTTCTTCCCCTTTTCCTTCTTTTGACGGAAAATATGTTGCCATTATCTTAAGCAGACAGGCGAAATGATGAGATCCGGCCTCCTATATACCGCAAAAGAATAGGAGGGACTTGAGGGCGCGTCATCTCCCTTGGCCCCTCTCGTGCAATCCCCCTCACTGTCTATAAAGTCAATCGAATTCATTAGGAGGCTCGTCTCAGATGATTCGTGCTGATGGAAGGGCGGAATCATGTACGATGAAAGGGAGTGGTCTGGAAAAGTCCTGCCTTTCCTTGGTAAAAAATAAAAAATAAAAAAGTAACTTCGAGCTATAGCCGATGGACTGTATTTAAATTAGCTTGAACTCCAAGAGCTGGAGATGGTTATGAATACTTATGAATCGACTGAGGAAGATTGATGGAAGTAAGACGCACGCTGTACTTTTTAAGAGTTGAAAGCTGTGAACTGTTGCATTTCTTCATTGTTGCTTCAATAATCGAATACTTCTAGCCACTTTCAGTCTCCCAGATGCATAATATTTTTCCTTGAATAATAAAACTGAGGAATACAAACGTATACTAGATATACATGTAATATATCCAATATACTTTGAGTTCTTTTAATGAACTCGATGACACCACTCAAATTCCAGAGGGTTTCAGTAGCCAATCTCACGATTGCGCGAAAGAAAACAGCGACAGGACCGGTGTCATCATATGAAGAATCTATTGCTATTTTCTAAAGTGCTTATTTTTAGGTCGAACTCCTCTTGAATGGGCATCGATGAAGGGGCGAAAGGGCTGGCCGGGGCTCAAGCATTTTGGCATTTGTCACTTCCTCCATTCCTCCAACTTTTTTGCTCGTTGAGGCATCCTCGGCACTCCCATTGGGGTAAATGATGCAATAGTAACATCGGAATTTAACCGGAGAGGAACGTTGTACCCGGATCGCAGTTTGCTTTGCTGCGTCACGATGACCCTTTCGCAAAGATAAGCGGTTTTAAAAGTAAGACATCCGGTGCTTCCTCTAATACCATTAACAATTTAACTCGAAAGGCTTGAATAGGGCCATATGAGTTTAATGAGCTCTTTTAAAATTATTCATGGCATGGGGGTGGAATTTCGTAATTGGCACTAAAAGATGCAAGTACCAAGAGTTCTTACAATCCTGGCTCCATAAGGGGTGTCACGGGTGCATTACTTAGAATGAGGCTATGCATCATGCAGCTGGGTACAACTTGGGTGGGGTAGACACAATAGAACAAAACAAATTCCATCTTTTGTCGGCCCATTCTTTCTTAGGGGATTCCAAGAAACTTGGTCACGCAAGTGATCTTTTACCAAGTTCTCTGAATTGAACTGTTCTCTGAGCCATCTACAGCAACTTCTGATTCATGCATTCCTCAGCGTCCTGGTGCTTATTTCAAAGTACTTATGCTGAGGATTAGAATACCTACATTTTGATCACCCTGTACGGGAGAGTTCATCCTAATATGTATAGAGTATTCAAATTCAAATGCTCGAAATATTCTTTCTCGAGAAGAACACAATAAGACGAATAATTGACGGTGAGTTCTGATGCTTCGACGTGGCTGAAGGAAGTTCCTGTCAGAGAGGAAAAATTTACGGCGGAAATAAGGCTTCCTAACCCGCAGTATTTCTTTATAGGGTTCATAAAGAATCGTATAAATTCGCAGGGCTTCCCTAGTTGTATGGATCGTTGAGGATTGGAACTGCGATCGTCTTACCCTCTGTTTCGAAGGAGCCATTCCCTCTATCGCCGTGGCGTTACATCAATCTGCATTACGGTCGACGAGGACTTCCCCTACGTGAGGGAAAGGAGACGATAATGAAGCGGCCCCTGAAAGCTCTCACTGGAGAGTCCATCTCATTCCTTCTCCGTTGCCGCTCCCGATTCCTTCGTTTCTGTGTATTCCTATTTCTTTCCTTCCTATCTCTTTTATCCCTCTTCCTTCCCTTTATCCCCACTTTTCCTGTGCCCTGTCGTGGAAAGAAGAATCCATGCTCTGTGAGGCGAGACCTAGTAAATCAAAGGGCGAAGTGTAGTTCGAGGAAACGTGGCTGCGAAACTCTTATTCTCTCTTTTCAGAGGGATTTTGAATGAACTCCTATGACTTAGGTATCTAACGTCACGGTTGAAGTAAAGGGATATTAACTTCATGGAAGATGTGCCAAAATGTCTTTCACGAAGTCTAGCAACCATCCACAACCGAGTCGTGAACCCTAATGTCCCTGCATGATCATCTGTTGCCTTTAGGATCGCTGATCTCACTGGAGTTTCCGTGTTAAACTTGCGATGAAGTCCATTTCATCATAAGCCACTTCGATCTTTCTGCTCCTCTTCCTTCGCGCTTTCCTTCTTTCTCACAGTCCATTATCGAAGAAATTCATCAGGGTGATCCCTTGATATCCCCGGGAAAGTGACGAAGGAATTGTCTGGCTTAGTGGAGAGTACACACACTACGATCTGTCTCTATACATGGATGGGCAGTGCCTTGATCCGACAGACCATTTGTCAAGCCCCAGATGCTCGAGCTGTCGACAAAGAGAAGAAACGCCTGGCAATTGAATCAAATGATCTTCCATTATGACGGAAGAAGGAAGTCCATTCATCTTCCACCACATCACGATATGGCTTCTCGCTAACAGAGAACCCTTTTTTTGTACAGCTTCATCCAAACAGACAAGGAGCGCCTTGTCCCTTTGCGAGGAAGCATATGTGGGTCCTCCATCTCTTTCGTGTTCCTTTCTCCTTTGACAGGCTATGCAAAATGCAGCAGAACTCGCAGTGTAGGTTCTATATTTAGTTCCAAGCGGACCATGGAGTAGCGGAGGTGGAACCTGAACTATTAGTGCAGAGGGATGCCGAAAAGACCAATGCAATTTTTATGAGAGTGCGATACAGTAGGCCTACTATAGATCTACGTCCTTTAGGTTCCCTAGTTGAAATGCATGAGGCCTCATGAAATAATTATTCTTTTGTGGAGAGATTTTCCCTGGAGAGACTGACCTGCTTGAATCCCCGATAGATGGATCGTATCTCGTGGCGAGAGAATCTGGTCTCGGTGACGAGCTGATCAAGGGAAGTCAACCAGATAGGATTCCTGCCTCGCGGGGTATCTGTCAACAGGTTCCCCCAATCACCTTCCTCCCACTCGTCTCCACTTACGTCGCTGTCCGCCAGTTTGCTCTTCCACCCACCAGCTCCACCTCCAACCCCTCCACCTCCACCTCCGTCCTCTCGTCCTCCTCCTCCTCCTCCTCCTTCAGCACCTGAAGAATCGTAATTATTACACTCCTCCTAGCAATGTCCTTCTCTCGACCTTATATTCCCCCACTACTCACTCAAGGGTATCTCTGAGACATACTGAGATAAGCAGTGGATATTCTGATTTTCGGAAACTGCACATATCAACGTGGTCAAAACCTGTACATGATGGATGATCTATGTCAGAAAGATACTTAGTGATCTTAACTGACACATGTTGCGGTGGGAAAGTTTTTCCCGTGTCCATGGCATCCCCGCTGTCACTAGTGGTGAGCGGACAAGCGTAACCGCAGGCTTCCCATCTCCACCTACTTTTTTGTTCCCTTCCCCTATCCTCTTTTCTTACCCGTCTCTCTCTCTCTCTCTCTCTCTCTCTCTTTATTATACCCCCCCTCTTTCACTCTTAGCCCCCCAGAAGGATTCGCAAAAACACTGGGACACTCTTTTATACTGAGAATGAAAACGCCGGAAACGGGGCACAAAGCAAAGACCTCTTGGCCGTGCTCCATGACAAGGGTGGGATTGAACCTCATGTTTATACCACTTACTGAGAGGTTGATGCTCAGGAGAGCTTCATTCCGAGACTGGAATCTTCACATCCCCTCTTCCGCCTTCTTTATTTTCCCTGCGAGTGCGTTTTTTCTTTGCTCAGCTCCGCCCTCGCCGACACTCTCACCTGCCAAAGAAAAGGAAAAGAGGCCCTCAAGCGGAACCCTTTATCTGGGATCTTGTCCAAGTCTTCTAGACACTTCTGCTTTCCGGTGTTTATTCCATTGATATATCTTTGATTTGTTGTTCTTACGTGGAATTTTCCGAGAAGTTCTCATGCTGCGACAGCCGACACTTTACAATGACGTCAGTGCATTAGATGGGAATGTGAATATTCTTTCCTCTGAAAAGCCTGTCAGATATTCTCTTGAAAGCATGACGGATGGGCTCAATGGGAAAGTATATGAAGTGCGAATTCCAAGAGAGAAAAGGGGAGCCTCGTCCTCCCTGAAAATTTCATTTGTTATGGTCCTCAGCTGGTGCTTCCTTTTTTCTCTGAGCAGATTCTTTCGCATCGCATGATTCGGATTGACCTATGCCCTCGGCATTCCTCCAGAGAGAAGAGGCACGCGGGAAGGCCATAAATCCTGCATGTAATCTGAAGAATCCCATTTTCGGGAATCAAGGAATCACGATTTATTCAATGCATTCCCTCGTGAAGCCGACAGGTGGAAATACGGATGATCAAGGTTTCCTCGGCGCCAGAGCGGACTTTTATCATAGCATAAATCCCTGTAGTTCCAATTGCACGGCAGAGAGGATGGGGAAGTTCAAATTACGGATATTCTCAAGGGGATGAGGATAGGGTTATATGTTTCCAATGCAGGTCACGGAGAGGGTAGAATGAAACACTAGGGATCCCCTACTTTGTGCTGCATCCAACAGACTTCTGACGTGATTTCTATCTTATCTCTCGCTAATTTGTCTCCCTAACCAAGCTATCTTCACTCAGAGCGACCAATCGTTACTCCGATTTTGATAGATGATTCGAATGTGTGACGAATGACGAAATAACATTCGTTTTTTGTTTGGAGGGCCTCCAAAACGCTTCAGTGGTTTACACGACAGCTACTCCTTTGTCACTTTCAAGTTCGAGGCTGAGTTTGAATGCTACGAGAGACCACGAATAAATGATATAGTTGAAATGAACTTACATGACATGGCGTCATTTAGCAAAACGACTTTTAGACGCGAGGACCTGACCTTCAAGCTTAATGCTCTCCTTTTGTCTCTCTTAAGTAGACCATTCCATTAGCAGCTGATGCATCCTTCGCCCTTGATGAACCCGAGGCTTCGTGTAAAATTCAATCCTTCCTCAACCATTTTAATCCCGGGAGTACGCGCGTTTCTCTCTTCAAAAGGTTGAAGGCTTTCCTCTATCTCGGATGAAGGCTTTTCTCTATCTCAGATGATATTCGTATTCATGACTGAATATATGCTCGAGACGGAGTTTCGCCTCTTTCCCCCCAAGGCTTTTCCATCTCCTTGGGCAAATGAGAAGGGAATGACGGGGAACAGAGGAGAGAGATCTCGGCATTGATCCTTTCTTATGCAAGTCGTTCTATTATTGACGCCTGTCTTTTTCTTGGCACATTTTCTTCTCCGGATCCCCTTCACTGTCCTAAATCACGAACTACAGCGGATTTTGTTCGCATCCCTACAGATATGCGAGATAGATAGGATTTATGACTATTCTCAAAGGGGGAATGAGTTTTGCACGCAAGGCTGGCTGCAGTAGAGTCACAAGATGAGATCCAAATGCGCCCGTAATGGCAAAGCCCCTTGTAAAACTGGCAAATTCAGACCAAGGGTCCCTCCAATTCTTCTCTGGGGAAAAAAGACCATGGTAACGGCGACTTCCTTCTTCCTCTGAAGCAGCCCAATCCCTCTCGAGTCCCTGAATGGGATCTTGGGCCTATCCCATTCTATTCCATATAGATCTCAGCCTATTTCTGGATTCTTCTCAGAGCATTTGGGCCCGATTGGGTCCTCAGACTCATCGATCTCCTTTCGTCTTTTCTTTTTCCTTCCTTCCCCCGTGACTTCCCCCTTCCTTCCCTTTTTCTTCTTCCTTGTCCTCAACCGTTTTCTATTTTCATATATGTGTATTGTCATTTAATTAAAGACTTTTGCAATGACAGAGCAGGACTGCCTTCCGGAATGCGACGAGAGGAATCTGGTTGTGGTAAAATTTGTCAAAAATGAAAAAGATTGACCGTCCTCTTCAGTCAACTACTTATTCTGATTGGCTTAGATTCTATTAAAGATGTTATCGCGGTTCCCTAATGGGTTGTTTTCTCGTTCTCTGAAGAACAATGACTCCAATTTCGAGGCGGGCAATCAGAGTAAGTGATGGTGAAGGTCAAGGTCGAGACATCAAGAAAAAGGCGTCCTCGTCGTGCCACACCCTGTTACCGCAGATGCAGCACTCGGTCGGCTCGAGCGACTGCGGAACATGAGAGAGGGAAAACAACTCTCATTATATAAAACCGCAGCAGCGTTGAGAACGGGGAAAGAGATGAGGAGGCTCTATGGTAATCCAATCCCTAGTTGGCATCTGGGTTGCTCAGCGAAAAGCCGAGGGTCTCACTTCCATAATTAACTTGTCCTGCCTTCTTCCGTCCTTCCTCCTTTCCTGTTCCTGGCTTATGCTCTGATCGATATCTGTCTGCGAGAGGGGCGATCTATTAGGTAAACGTTGGATGGAAGAAGTCCCATAAATTCAGAAGGCTTCCTGGTCCACATCACAAAGAGGGATATAAGGAGGGAGAAGAGGCAAAAAAGGCAGACAAGCTTTCTCCTATCTAACGTCGAAATGAAGACTGATCATTGTGCAAGGTGTAGTGGAACCAGAACACCTTCAAGCCAGATTCCTTCATCGATTCTACTGTTCCTCTTTTCGCTCCTACGTCCTTCATGCGAGGGGAGTTAAGAGGAAGGAGTAAACTTTTCTCCCCGGCTAGCCTCATTGCAACGGGTTATCAAGGGAATATCTAGCTCTCATCTTAGAGTCTCATAAGGACCCTAATGCGCCTGGAAAGATAAAACTTGGAGAGTGATTCGGACTTCTGCTCTATCTCAATCTCTTTAGCTTCCTTCTACTGGATGCCTACGATTACTGACATTCTTCTTCAATGGGTTCGTTATTAAGGAAATATGTTTTCAAGAGAGGATACTATAGTGGGAGTTTTGCCAAGTGATGCACCCTTGAGTGAACTTATAAAATTTTCATTCTTTAACGCACTAAAGTTCGCACTGCCCCCAAAATTTTGCCACCTAATTTCCTTGCGTTTTTTCATTTTTTGCATAGCTTTCGTGTCTTGCATCCATACGACTCAACCGAAGTCACGAGCATTGAATATCCTGTTGTTTTTATTTCATCGGGGAGGGGCTTCATAACTCTCCAATTTAATTTTGCGATAACACAGTACCTTGGCAACGGAGAATGAAAGTAGAGTATCTAATAAAAGCTCATATGTAATGACAATATTTCCTGACTTCGACCAGCTCCACTCTGAAACGATTCAAGTCAAAATCTGTCGTATCTACCGTCTCGATGCATTTTGTGTCATGTTTGATTGCCAGGCGAGATACTATTGACTAGCCTGTGAACCATCCTATTTAGACTTCTCTTTTTTATAGGGACACCCAAAGGAAAACATGCATAGCGAGTCATAGCCAGATGTCACAACCATGCGGGCTATGATACGAAACAAGATATAGATTTCTCACGCCATCTGCATCGCCCAACACGCGAGGAGCATACCGCCAAGATCGTTGAATCAGATGTTGGATATTGGAGGCCTTAATTTGAATTGTTTCAAAATGGAACTGGTTCGAGTTGTAAAAAATTAGAATTTAACGATCTTTCATTTTAAATCAAATTTTCACTTCTCAGTTGCATAGTTACCGCGTGACGATGGAATTCAATTTCGGAGTTAATTATACTGTCAGATATCCTGCATAGTACGATCGATAACGAGCAGACCTTTGACGTCATTCATGCATGCGAAATCAGTAAAGAGTGAGGGTTTTTTTACCTGAACGATGTCGTGATTGACGAAGGGTCTCCGTGTTCTCGGGGATAATCTCCTTTTCGTGATTACCAGACGATATTTATCGTGGGGGAATTCCAGACCCATTCGAAAACGATAATCGAGCTTGATCTCAGTCATTACTTTCAATCCATGAGTCCGAGATAGCGTGACACAATGCGATGTAAATAGGATTCGAACGTGCATTCCATACAAGAGGGGATTTTTGTTCGCGAATAAAAGAAAACGTCCTGGGTCTTACGGTTGGTCCGGACATGTTCTCTATCGATTCTGCAAGCTTGGCTTTAGAGCTGGAAGTGAAGCATCCTCTGAAGCTTTCTCCGTTAGATCCTGCTCGTCTCCGAGGGCCATCATCGTATCCCCTAAGCAAGCACTTCAATATCGGTCCTTTCTCATAGCATGCTGGTTCGGGGGAATGCCATGATACAAAGGGCAAATCGACAAAGCTGGAGCGGAATCTTGAAAGTGCAAGAGGGGCAAGAGAACAATGAGAGGAGGTGATCAATATATCCATTGCTTGTTCTGTATAATGGAAACGACGAACAGGATGAAATATGGTTCACTTTCATAGGAAGTGCATGATACTTGGGAGCTTTTTTTTTCCTTTTTAGAAAGAGACGCCCGTGGAGAGAAATGCTCTACGAACGT